TCCAGTTTGCAGTAAACCTTGTGTAAATGGTTATTGTTCAAAACCTGAAGTCTGCACACCAAATACAGGATACAGTATAGATCCAAAAGACAAATACAAGAGCAATCCAATTTGCGATCCACACTGCGACAACGGTGAGTGCGTTTCACCAGGCGTCTGCAAATGCCAAGAAGGCTACAAACTGAACGAGAAGAAGATATGCGAGAAGGAGTGCCCGTTCGGATGCGTCAAAGGGATTTGCGTGGACGGAACGTGCATCTGCGAGGAAGGCTTCATTGGGGAAATCTGCGATTTCTCGTTCGACAATTATTTGGAGCCGTCAGAGTACAAAGGCGATAAAACGATAAATTGGTAAGACGAATTCGGAACATTCCTTAAACGCAGATTTATTAAGAAAATTCTTTCTTGTTTTACAGGTCCGCCTCGGGTATGCTCGGTCTTATAATTGCTGTCAGTATGCTGGTATTCCTGTTCCTTTTATCGACGATCGTCAAGTGCCAGAAGAAGAAGCGTATGAGGAATAGCATAGCGGAAATGAACGAGTTTAGAATCGAAGAGATCTTAAGTGGTTCAGATGTTGTGTATTCGTAATATAATTTAGTTTTACTATATGTTTTCCTATTTTTGTAAATTGCTTTAAAAAAAAAATAAACAATGTAAAGTTTAATTATTTTTATTATCTGCCCAAGTTTTGCATTTGCGAAGATTGTGGCGTGAATGAGGAGTTAAGATAATGTAAATTGTATTTCTTTAATGCTTAAAAAGTATGAAAATCTTTATTTTGGTCACAGTAGAAAGTATATACATAACTTAATATAGATGTAAATCAAATAATTTTTGGGATGCGTTACAGTCTCGTGTTTCCTTCGTTGTCGGTGTTTGCGTAATGCGTTTCTTCGGGAACTATGGGATTGTTCCAGCAAGGTATCTCGTCGTACAGAGGTTCCGAGGATTCTGGTTCGGGTATTGCTGCAGCCCTGTAGCTTCCTGTTGATGGTGGATGGTCGTACAGAAGGTCCATGCATCCTTTGGCGCTGAGGCTGCTCAGAATCTCCGTTTCGAATTGGTTTTGATAGGCTGGAGGATCTGAAAGCGAAAGCTCTAATAAGTACAAGTTTCTGCTTTTATACTTGTTGGTTTCTTACCAGGTAATGGGGAATGGTAAACGCTCTTCGGCTTGGACTCGGAATCCGTCGAGGTGTCGTTTGTGCGTCGCCTCATCAGGACGAAGATCACGTACATCGCGCTAATTGGAATAGCGATGGCCGCGATACCGGAGCAGATGGTGATGGCCAAACCGTTTGGAATTGACGCCAGTTCGGGTCTATCATCATCGTCATCATCCGAAGACACGTTTCCTGGTGATGCAACGGTTATTGATCGCAAGACGATGGTTTCTGTGACGTTGGGTGGGATCGTTGTGATCCGGTCGGTCGTCAGGACGTGCACGTCGAATTGGGGTGGACGTGGAGGATCCACGCTCTTCGGCGTCGTCGTTGACGTCGTCTTTGCGCTCGTTACATCCGATTTGGAGCAACTACCGCCGATCGATTCGCAGGTCTCGCCGTCGCCGCAACCGCATTTCCCCTTGCAATCCTTCCCGTAAAATCCATATTCGCATTGATTTTCGCAACTGAAAACATACAAAAAAATAATACTTTACATTACACAATTTACTTAATACAGTGGTTTCCAAACTTGGGATTACTACGCCTCCCTCAAAAGTATGTCTTTTGGCGCGTATTACAGCAATAATGATAAGAGCACAGGAATGTATCTATACTTGCTGGATTTCCCAAACATTGCTTTTTCGAGCATTTTTT